CCTCCGATGAATAATACGCTGAGCTCTTTATCTACAGCGAACATGTTAACGCTGTGTATATCCGGGTGTCGAGGCTGTGAAACTCGTGTTAGTGTGTGTGAGCTCCTCGCTATTGGTTAGTTATACAAGAGGTTGTTCCCAGCGAGGAGTCATGGCTGGCAGGGATGTATTCTGTGTTCCTGCTGAGCGAGATGACAGTAATGTTTGTTGCTGTTGGTGTAATGGTCTTCTGTGAGTCATTATTTTAAAACACGTTAATTACTCATAGATTCTTTAATGACTCTTTGGTTCATTTTTGTTTTCGTTTAGTCGTCTCATTAAACACCTCTTCTTGTTTACTTTGCTTTCTTGTTATCATTCCTGTTCGAACTTCCTGTGTGTGAATTCTTAGGACTCTTCCACCAGTAGTTCTGTTGCCTTTTAACCTCCCGAGTCGAAATATGCTAAGCAGCGTCTCTCCTGCACGAATCCTTAAAAGAAAGGTAACAATTCATACCTCAGTGGCGGAAGCTGACAGGTGCTGACCTACGGGGGGTAAGACATGGTGTGAGGGGTAAGGAGCGTTGTTGTTGGTGGATAGGAGAAGGCGTGTGGGTCGCCAGCGATCAGTCAGCGCCCATGGCCAGAGGTGGCCCATGGCGCGTGACCCCCGCTTGGCCAGGTCTGTGGGAACCCTGCCAAGTGCACCACCCTCACCCTCCTTATGTCCCTCAGCCAGCCTTCAAGTCCTCTTACTTACTCACTCACTCACTCACTCACTCACTCACTCTTTTTGTTACTTACTGTTTGCTCTCTTACTCAATCCATTTATTTATTTGTGTAACATTTTATTAAGTACGTTTGGTTACATGTCTACTCGCACCTATACACTCACACTTTGCATATATAGAGACAAAGAGAGAGAGAGAGCCATGATCGTCAGACCACTAGTGGGTTAACGCTTCTATTATGTATTTCAGTAATATTCATCAGTGGTCCACAAGCTCCCCTAAGTGCCACATCAACTCCGTCTCTTTTCTTAGTTCACAGTTGATCTATTCCACTGTCGTGTCACTATCATCTCCCCCTTACAATACCTATAGAGGAGTTTTTTGTTTGTGTTTTGTTTTAGTTTTAACTCCGTGTTTTATCCCCTCGTGTCAACACTGGTCATATGTTTCTCCCTTAGGTTAGGTTAGGTTGATCTATAATAAATATCTTAGGTTTCTTATGACACTTTGGCCCATTTTAACTAGTTTTAAAATGCCTCTTAACAGGTTCTTATTAGGTGACACAAGTTGCCCTAAATATTCAAATTCGATGACTTTCTCTCGATTCTAAATTGTTGATCTAGGGGGGGGGGGAGGGGGGGAAGGGGGGTTTAAGCACCTTTACAGTCTTATTTTCTTCCTTATCAGTTCAACTTTTGTGGTTCGCTTTACTAACCCTGCCAAGTACCGTGTCAATACACCTGTACTATGATTTCGTCAGCAAATTGAAGGGGATTTCAGTAAGCGCCTTTGATATTTAAACCAGTTTCTTCCCAACTAACTGTTTTAAAAAAAACCTTTTCCCATTACCGCTGTATAGAACTTTATCGAAATTATGTCATTAAGTCGTATCAACTCAAATAATTACTGTAGGACTTCTTCGGTGCCTTTGTTTATAGAAGTAACGAGAGTCAGTGACGATGACTGTGTACTGGCTTCATTGTTCTGGTTCATCAACACAGACAGTACTGACTAGATACAGACAGTACTGACGTGATACAGACAGTACTGATCAGGATACAGACAGTGCTGACTAGATACAGACAGTACTGACTAGATACAGACAGTACTGACTAGATACAGACAGCACTGACTAGATACAGACAGTACTGACTAGATACAGACAGTACTGACTAGATACAGACAGTACTGACTAGATACAGACAGCACTGACTAGATACAGACAGTACTGACTAGATACAGACAGCACTGACTAGATACAGACAGTACTGACTAGATACAGACAGTACTGACTAGATACAGACAGTACTGACTAGATACAGACAGTACTGACTAGATACAGACAGCACTGACTAGATACAGACAGCACTGACTAGATACAGACAGTACTGACGTGATACAGACAGTACTGACTAGATACAGACAGTACTGACTAGATACAGACAGCACTGACTAGATACAGACAGCACTGACTAGATACAGACAGTACTGACGTGATACAGACAGTACTGACTAGATACAGACAGCACTGACTAGATACAGACAGCACTGACTAGATACAGACAGCACTGACTAGATACAGACAGCACTGACTAGATACAGACAGCACTGACTAGATACAGACAGTACTGACTAGATACAGACAGTACTGGGACTAGATACAGACAAAGTACGACTCAGATACAGACAGTACTGACTGGGATAAAGACAGTACCGACGTGATACAGACAGTACTGACTAGATACAGACAGTACTGACTAGATACAGACAGCACTGACTAGACAGACAAAGTACGACTAGATACAAGACAGTATTCCTGACTAGATACAGACAGTACCGACGTGATACAGACAGTACTGACTAGATACAGACAGTACTGACTAGATACAGACAGTACTGACTAGATACAGACAGTACTGACTAGATACAGACAGCACTGACTAGATACAGACAGTACTGACTAGATACAGACAGTACTGACTAGATACAGACAGTACTGACTAGATACAGACAGCACTGACTAGATACAGACAGTACTGACTAGATACAGACAGCACTGACTAGATACAGACAGTACTGACTAGATACAGACAGTACTGACTAGATACAGACAGTACTGACTAGATACAGTAGACAGTACTGACTAGATACAGACAGTACTGACTAGATACAGACAGTACTGACTAGATACAGACAGTACTGACTAGATACAGACAGTACTGACTAGATACAGACAGCACTGACTAGATACAGACAGTACTGACTAGATACAGACAGTACTGACTAGATCATGATACTTTTCTGAATCGAGGAACATTAATACGAGGTTGATCTTTATTTACTGTACTTCAGAGAAACTCCCCTGGATGACTCACAGCTAATCTATGGTTCGGTAATTACTTCAAACTTCTATGCCTGTTCTTGCAGTTGACTGAAATCCAGTTTAGTTAAAATCTACTTATGAATATTTTAATAGGTATTTGTATGCACCCGGTACAAGGCTAATTTATACAGAGGAACGATCACCCACTGAAACTTATTATATAAATTAAATTGAACGAAATTGCATCGAGATATCCAACAGACTCCAAAGACTGAGGGAACTTACCCCAACAACACAGGTTAAGATACTGAAGGTGTTTTTACGTGAAGATTATGTAGTATTGAACGTTTATAATAAAGATATGCAAATTGAAGGATTTTTAAAGTTGATACAAATTGCCACTTAATAAAACCAGAGCACTAGTACTTACATATTATATATATATATATATATATATACTGTATATTGAGCTGAGATAAACCTCTGTCCTCTAAAGCGTTGTGGAACCATTGTACAAACTTTCTTCTCTAGACACTTAACAAATTCCTTTACAGAACATTATACCAAAAACACTTAATGTAAGGACTATATAATACACATAAGACATCACACCTTCATGATTAACAAAAAACAAAAATCTTTACTCTATGACAGATTATATTTACTCTTATAATTATTTCAGATAATTTTGATGATAAGGAAGTTTTGAAATAATTGAAGAGAACGTAAATGTTGTACCAAGACGGCGGGGGAAATTATTTGTGATGTTTTATTTATTAAGATAAGTATATAAATAAATTGATTAATTTATAAATACACATACATACATAGAGCATGGACATCCACACACACACACACACACACACACACACAAAGGAGATACAACATCTAAGCCGCGGGTTGAGTGAGAATATCTGGCCGTTACATCTACGAGTCTTAAAGTGTTACTGTTTACTGAAGTATTAGTTTACCTGAGGGCCTCAGCTGTAAGGTTATAACATTCCTTGAATACTTCTGGCCGGCGTAAACATGACATGAGCCAGAGAGAGCCAGCGTGTTTAGCGTACCATAAACGACACATACAAACACTGACAACCTCGTCTCTAACTCACTCTCAGAAAATATTACCGAGTTGAGTATTTTAGATCATTCTTTTGAATCTTCCTTAGATCGATATTCTGGTACCAAGGAGCGAGATAATAAATACCCAAACACCACACGTTAGGCCGTCACTTTTACCATGACTTTGCAGTACAAAATTTTAATAATACAGTTCTTAATGAAATAATATGTATCAGAGAAAAATATATCTTCTGTAGATATTTGGAAATAAATAAACAAATGGGGAAAATATATTGTTGTGTAAATAAAATGAATCAATCATGCATAACATCAAGAACACATTGGAACAAGTTTGTTTCTCAATACCGCCTCCCCCGTCATTGTTCACATGCCATTCCAACACCGGAGGATCACTATTATCACCAATCTATATTACTCCTCGTGCACCAGAAAAAATATTTACACCAAATTTATCTTCACTACAAGTTTAGTAATTAGGGTATAATTAGTAATTTGTCGCTTCCTGTGAAATTACACACCACGACTTACAAGAGATGGTTGATGGTGTTTCGTGGTGGGACTCACACATCTAGTGACCTCCAGGGAAGGCATGACTAATCGTCAATATACAAATGATGTAGAGGTTTAATATGAAGCATGACCTCCTTTCCCTGCATTGGTGGGGACGTACAAAGGACAGGTGTCGCGTGTAGCCAAGTGAAGGAGTCCCATTTCTCTTTTATTAATCCTTCAATATCCTAATTAACCTAAGGTACGTGTGTGGGGAGGTGAAAGTCGAGAGATAAGGTTCAAAATAAAAATAACCTCACGCTGCTCCTGTTATTGAGAACTGTAGCGGGGAGGTTGAAATTCTCTTGTGGCGTCAACTGGCAACCGATCGAGACGCTTGTATCTCCCGCCTATATATATCGGGGGCGTAAAGTCCTGCAGGCATCAGTTTCCTGCAACACGCTCAACATGAAGCTTGTAAGTAGAAGATGATCAAGAGGAACATCTTTTACTGTGGTGCTTTTCTATATTCAGTTTTAGTGGCGAGGCAAAAGTGTCACTCATCTCTTGGCTACGATTGTCTGTATGTGTGTGTGTGTGTGTGTACATACGGGTCTTGAGTGCACGGTGTGGGGGACTTGTTCATCTCGTTGTGGTGTACATACAGGCCCGGGTGGCTTTGTGTATCTAAAACTCTTCCTATTGTGTTTGTACAGTTGTGGTGAGTCTCTGGATACGAGCCTAAGAGAGAGTGTGTGTGTGGTAGAGAGATGTTAGTTTATTTCTTCACCTGTGTGTGTTGTGGGTCAGGTGGTTGGTCTTCACAAGTATCAAAGTCAATAGGTCTGTACAGGTCTGGATGGTTTGGTCTGCGGAGTTTGTCTTTGGTCTGTGCTGGTGAGGTTAATTTGTAGGTCTGTTACATGGTTATAGTTTTGGTCTTTGAAGATTTTGTATTAATTATTCCTAAATCTTTTCAGCTTTTCTATACACCTCTTCCTGGCATTTCCAATAAGAAGTTAATGAATAATTTTTATAACTTAGGAATATCTTTTGATCATCTGTTTATCAATTACTCTAAAACAACTGGTGTGGAATTTAATACTCTAATAAATAATAGAAAATCGTCATCACTGTTTCGTCACCATTATTTTTATGTCGTTTCTCATTATCAGACTGTATCGTCACATACCTTTGTTTACCTGTGAATCAGCTGTTTGTTTTATCGCTACCTTTTTTTTTACTTAGCAACACGGATATAGGGAGTCTCAGCTGTTTCAAATTCATACTTGCCTGAAAATCTTTATTGAATTTTAATATAGGTCTAGCTCTGCTTTTGGTCGATTTCTTTCTGGTGGTATTTGGGTCGATGGAAAGTTTACTGCTTGGTATGTGTATGACCATGATTGAAATGCTTATTTTTCAGGAGCAAAGTAAAATATTTCGTAAGTGACTATAAACTGCATCATCGGGACTTGTTTTAACTCTTAATGCTTCACTTCACTCTACAATAAAAACCTATAAAATATCATATGACCTTTACAGTAAACTGACGAGTCATTCTATTTCAGAAGAAAATCTAAAGTGAATTTATATTTTAGAATTCAGGAAGATTTATCAAGTTTTTAGTCTTCAATGCACGTGAACAGCTGTCATCATCATCATCATCATCATCATCATCATCATCATCATCATCATCATTATCGTCATCATCATCACACTAATTAAAAATATCCTAAGAAAAATGTTAAGTGTATTCTTTTTTTTATTAATCGTGATCTCTGAACATTCCTACATCTCTCAGTTCAGTTACAGATGACAAAAATAACGGAGGATAATGCCAGGAGTAACGGCACTCTGCCATCACCCGCACTGCTGACACACACACACACACACACACATGGGCCAAATATTTACTGTGACTGCTGCTGTATCTGACGGTAACCACTAGTACGACTGACAACTGACACACGCCCTTGTGGTTCCTGCTTGGACACACACACGACCACTGGACGAGGACGACCACTAGCTCCTCCGCCGATATATCAAGGACCTTCGCTGGAGGATCACAAGTTCGACCGCTGGTAGGAACAAGTAGACACACTGACTGAACCAATCACAGGGCAGCCACTTGTACTACCACTGCACCTATGGAACAACTATCTAATCTTACAGGTCATGTCAAGGGTTCAAAGTTGATACGGTATTCTTTCTGGAGCCTCTGTGTGTATAGGGTAAGATATTGGTGTGTTTATGGGATGTAAAGTCTCTATTCTCATGACAATTGGCAACCTCAAAGGTGAACCTTAAGCAATAGCCAAAAATTCATTCAGGGTGAGGAGACACACACCTTCCCTCCCCATCCAGGTGAACGTTTGTGCCGTGGGTCACCTTAGAGCTTCATAGATGGCCTTACACTGGGGATTGTTTCCTCAACAGGTGAATTATTAAAGCTTCCTGTATACAGAGGATCAAAAACTATTGTGATGTCAACTCTGATCCTCTGAGGTGAACCACACAGATAACTTTTCTCTCACTAGAGCTTTTCAAGAATTAAATAGAACCGACGACCATGATATGATAAACGAAATGACGATAAATGAACCTATAATTAACTATTATTGTAGTGTGAAAGTCACCATCCTCCAGTACTCAGGTCACTTAACTGGCCAACTGTCTGCTTCAGGTCATCCTCGCCACCTTGGTCGCTTTGGCCGCTGCTTTACCTGACACTTATTCCCACGAGAGGGGCGACGTCGTGCCTATTTTGAAGGATGAAAGAATCACCGAGGAAGACGGAAGGTACAATTTCGAAGTGGAGACTGGTGACGGCATCGTCATCTCCCAGTCCGGGTCCCCGGTAGAAAATGGCGCCATTGGCAAAGCTGGACAATTCTCGTAAGTCTTTCTATCACTTTTATTATGTATCATATTAATCTGACGATTGAAACTCCAGAGATGCAGTAGGGGATCCTGTAATCAACTCCTTTTCCCTCTCCCACAGTTACACCTCTCCTGAAGGTAAATATATTGAGCTGAAGTTCGTAGCTGACGAGAACGGCTTCCAGCCCCAGTCTGATGTGCTGCCAGTGGCTCCCGAGTTCCCCCACCCAATCCCTCAGTTCGTGCTGGACCAGATCGCCTTTGCTGCTGCAGAAGACGCTGCCCGCGCCCGTGGTGAGAAGCCGAGTTACAATAAGTAAACGACTAGCAGGGAACGACCTCCGACAGCCCACCCTGGGAGGCGTCTTTACCCGCCTCCCTGTACCATAAGAACGACGATCACTCACCACGGTGTGAACTCGAACCATGTGAATTTATTCCTTATTTTATCTCTATTTATTATGAATGAAATTTAGGAGGAAAGCATACATAGTTTATCTGTCTGCACATCATAAAAACATTGTCGGTACTCTCAACACACTACGCGCCCCCGTACCAGTCCTTCTTCACCACTTCAGCTGATAAACTATGTATACACTTCTTCTCTATGGTCAATACTATTCTAAATAATAAAAAAAACAGAAGTTATAATACGTGTTATAGATTTCCTTTAGACTAAATTTCCTGAACAGCAAAACACGAGGAAAAATATCCGAGAAGAAAAATACCAATGAATGGAAACTTTGGTAGAGAAGTGATGTCTTATTCAACTATATTGTTATTAAGATCATTAACACACACACACACACACACACACACACACACACACACACACACAAAATATATATATATACCCTATTAGGTTCCTTCAATCTCGTTTTTAATTAAAATAGGTGACGCATCATATCCTGAACTGTACTTTCATAAGACGGGTGAACTAACAGAAGGAGGTCGTCACGTGTAATGGAAGAGTCGGGTTTGTTACAATTATACAAGGGACTATGAGATGTTTACGTTGTTTTGAGGTAATTATAGACAAGAGCAGGGGTGGGGTGGTCTTTTTTCTTTATACAGTAGAAAATTTATAAGAAAAAAGATGATGAGGAGCCATTTATTGATATATTTTGTGGAGTATATAAGTCATTTTCAGGTACAATATAAGCCTATAGGGATATTGTTGATGGATAGAGAATACTGTATTCAAAATCCCAAACAGTTTTTGAAGAGACGAGGAACATTTTCTTGCACGGACTAACAAACACGAGTCAAAAATCCTCCTCGGGAATCCTAAGCCAATTGGCATTTAAGATGTGTTGACACTACGTCACAGATCTGTCAGGCAGTCTGTCGTATAATTCACAACTGAAAGATTTATGTAGGTAATGAGACAGGAGAGTTTACTGTGTCTGGCCAGCTGAGTCCTGATCATTAGAGGTCCAGATTTAACTTAGCCATTTAGACTGGGGTTTAGACATCGCCTGGGACACAGTCGTATTTGTTAGGTTAGGTTAGGGCCAATTTTGACCACCTGTAGTCGTGTAAAGATTCTTAGATATGTGTGTGTGTGTGTGTGTGTGTGTGTGTGTGTGTGTGTGTGTGTGTGTGTGTGTGTGTGTGTAGTGTATGTGTGTATGTGTAGATATGTGTGTGTGTGTGTGTGTGTGTGTGTGTGTGTGTGTGTGTGTGTGTATGTGGTGTGTGTGTGTGTGTGTGTGTGTGTGTATGTGTGTGTATGTGGTGTATGTGTGTATGTGGTGTGTGTGTGTGTGTGTGGTGTATCTCTTCATCACATCAACGTCCAGACACATCGGGGAGGAGTCAGTCTAAACCAGTACCCCTGTATTTGTCAGGGCTGAGAGAAGTGTTTATGGCTCTGATATATCTTAACAACCACCCCCCACCCCGGCCCTTCTCCTTGGACACCTCCTCCCTTCCACAGACCCCCTCCCAGGCCACTTCAGATCCTCCTTAGATCCCCCTTATTCAACACCACTAAACCCTGCCACAAAAAAATCCCTAGTGTAGTTGTGGTGGTACTGGTGGTGATAGTGGTTGTAGAGATAGTCATAGTAGTAGTAGTAATGGTGGTTGTGATAGTGGTTGTAGAGGAGGTAGTCATAGTAGTGGTAGTGGTGATAGTGGTGGTGGTGGTAATAGTGGTTTTAGAGGAAGTCATAGTAGTGGTAGTGGTGATAGTGGTGGTGGTGGTAATAGTGGTTGTAGAGGAAGTCATAGTAGTGGTAGTGGTGATAGTGGTGGTGGTGGTGTCGAGGGAATGATGGTGTTTGCGAAGACATTTTTGGTGAGGGTAGTGGTAATTTTTTTAGTAGTGGTGTTGGTGGTAGTGGAAAGTGAGGAGGAGGAGGAGATACAGGAGGAGAAGAAGAAGAAGAAGATGGAGAATGAAGATAAGAAAAAGAATTAAGAGGAGGAGGAGAAAAGAGATGAGGAGAAGAGAAGTAGGAGGAGGCAAAGGACGGATTAACCAAACCTGTACTAGACTCATAAACTACAGTACCTTCAGAAACACAGGTACAGATTAATTAAGATTTATGAGGACTTTTAAAATCACAGTAATTTCCACACTATATCACAACAACTATGATATAAACGACAAAATAATAAAAATAACAACAACACTTAACTTGTCTCTACTGAAGTTAATATTGTCAACTTAAGTGTACTAATGATAAGTGTATGTTAAGTGTTAAGTGACAGGTGAGAATATCATTGGTGACCTATTAAGTACCTAACCTAACCTAACCTAACCGAACTTAACCCGAGCTACCCTAACCTAACCTAACCATACTGAACTTAACCCGAGCTACCCTAACCTAACCTAACTGAACTTAACCCGAGCTACCCTAACCAAACCTAACTGAACTTAACCCTAGCTACCCTAACCTAACCTAACTGAACTTAACCCGAGCTACCCTAACCTAACCTAACTGAACTTAACCCGAGCTACCCTAACCTAACCTAACTGAACTTAACCCGAGCTACCCTAACCTAACCTAACTGAACTTAGCCCGAGCTACCCTAACCTAACCTAATTTACCCTGACTGTTGTGATTGCGGCTAAGACCTAATGGCCCCCAGCTCTAATGGGCCTCAGGACTAATATTTAGGTCAGGTTGGGGTCTATTAGGGTTGGGGCCCATTTGACCTTACAGCCTTAGAGAACATAATAACAGCATCCTTAATACCTCAGTGCATAACATAATACCACCAGATTATACTATGATATATAAAGTCTGAGTTATTTAGTATCATGAAATTAAGCATTGTATATATTCATAGTTAAGCTTTACCTTTAAAAAAAACGAAGTTGAGCTATTTACGACCTGGTCAGTCATGATAGATAACAGAGTGTGTGTGTGTGTGTGTGTGTGTGTGTGTGTGTGTGTAAATCCTAAAGCAGAGTTGTTCGGTAACTCAGGGTGTCCTAAGAGTTGGGGAGGGGGGGCTCTATACCCCTCTTGGCAGGGGCTGGCTGTCACTTGGCGAGAACACCTCATAACTCATTAAGGCCTGTCACCTTACCTGCCTGGCGGTGAATGCTTGAGTGGACAAAAGATTCAGGAAATTCTCTCTGACAGAAAAACTCGGCTGGGTCCAGACTGGTGTTGGTCTGGCCACTCCCCAGCCTAAGTTACTTTAAGCATATTAACATATACCTTTTCTCTCTGTCCAGTTCATTAATCTGATAAGGTTAAGTCTCGGTGCTCAAGCTTAACATAATTCATTTACACCTGAGACGAGTCCTCTGTGGGTCGTCTGGTCACAGGCTGTTTCTTATAAATAATTTATCCTGCAACAGGTTAGAGTTAGACCATCTTGCTACAAATATTTTCAGTCTCTGACAAGTGAGCGACGCTTCTGTGAATAACTATGACGTGACACTTGTCTTATTCCTGTCGGTGTCATTTGTTTTTATAAAGGAAAAATAATTTTCAAGTTTTCGGCAAGAACTGGGACAAAATAATGCAAGATGGCCGACACTAAACACAACCTTGATATTACAGGCTCGTAGGATGTGTTGACACAGTTAGCCCAGCACAGCTGCTACGACACCTTGCTTGTGAGAACTGAGGCTGGATGACACCTTCAGATTAGTAGGAAATACTGTAGTTGTTTTAAAGTATTTGATGCTTCAACAGTTTATCTATTTAAGTCTTAGTTTCGGCAATAGTCGGTAGCTTTTATAATTTATGAACGATGTTTTTTCCGTATCGCTAAGTGGAGGGTTGCAAGCCGTGGTCGACTGCAATAAAGTACAGACACCAGGAGACGTCGCTGCTGACAGTGCAAGAGGTCATCGCACCCCGCTGCTCACCCGCCTCAACCCCGGCCAATATGGAACTGACCCACTATGGCTGTTGCCTCGCTGGTGCTCACACTGACTGTCGTAAAGTAATGGTCGTAGTCCTGGAGTGACGAATAACGTAGTTCGTAACAAAATTTCATTCATTCACAAGATTAACGTAGTGAGGAAATACTCTCATTAATGGGTAAATATTTCTATAGCGAATACTATAAGCAAAAATAATCAGTGGTGGCGAGATCATATGATGTGTACTGTCGCTAAGTGTATGTAAACAACATTACTCAGTCAAGTATTTCTTCCTCACTGACATGACATGACATGACACGACATCTAACACCTGACAAACACCAATATAATCAGAAACATTTACCATTTATCATTTTCAATAAACCAGTAAAATACCACAAATAAATTATCAACAATTTCATAAACTTCAAAGCGTGACGGATAAAAATTATGTCAACACAAAAAAAAAGAAATATCAAGCGTAACGAAATGAAAATCAAGCGCAGCGGGACCGTCTACTCACCTACAGACTGAAGACAATGACAATATCTTCGATGTCTTCAAGATCAGATTTTTTCACCCAGCAACTCCCTGAGCATTTAATAACAAGTATTGTGTCTAATATCATTCTTTACACAGTGTCGACGTAAGAGACAATGATCAGCTTCTGGTAAATGATTATGATTTCTGCAGCTGTCGTAAAATATAAGTGATGAACCAGCGTGAAATGTTGGGGAGTATTATACCCTGAACAAAACTATAATACACGGGGGAATTTTTTTATCGTTTTGTCAGTGAGAAGAAGATGATGGGAAGACCCGCTGGAGAACTTTGTCTAGAGAGAAAATATTTATAAAAGAATAAAAAGGTAAGTTGTTAAGAGGTGTTATATAAAAACCTAACCTAACCCATACTTAAAGGTACGTATCCTAATCTAACCAATACTTTATCATAACTTAACCTAACCTAACCAAACTTAATCTACCACTATCTTACCCCAACTTACCCTACCCCTAATCTAAGCTACCCTAACCTAACCTGACTTAATATACCCTACCCTACCCTACCCTACCCTACCCTATCCTACCCTACCCTACCCTACCCTACCCTACCCTACCCTACCCTAAACCTTAATATGCCGTACAATATATATCCTTGCTGCTGTCATCCCAAGTAACTCAACCGCATCAATAATTTAACCAGAATAAAATATTTGTAAAGCAGGTAATATCCCTCCCAAAATATAGGGCGTTTTATACAACAATAATACGTCTTGCATATTCTCTCTGTCAATATATATTTAAACATACAATTTCCT